TAATAATAGAGTTAAGCCAATATTTTTGAGGATTATTTTTAAATAATGTAAACAATATTTTCCAGAACGACGTTTTTTTGTTTTAATAGTTGAAACGATGGAACTGCCATATTCATCAACAACTTCAGTTGTGATAGTTTTCGATGTAAAATTAAAGTCATTAGATAGTTGTGTTTCTTCCATGGAGTAAAAGAACCACTTCACAATTGACTGGTATTTACCAGTCCACTAATGCTTTAATCATCATATATATACTCAGATAATAAAGTGAATAATTATGATTGGTTAAATAAGCATGTTAATTGGTAACCTTTTTTGATTGATAGAGGGATAGACATGTAAATGATATAAATTTTCACATCATTATTTCAAATTAGTTGAACAAACAAAATGAGTTTACAAGAATTCATTTTAATCAAATAAGGGTATCAACATGCATTATCATACCTAGCTGCTTAATCCACATTTAATGTAGGATCAACATTATATACTTATTAAGATATTGGAATAATGGTAAATGTTATTTATTATTATGATTTACCGTTTGCGGGTTAGTTGTAATAAACTATTTACCCTTCTAGAATTTAATTTCATTAGTGGATACCGTAGTAATTTCATCTGAAGATTAATTTATCATTGTTAATACTTTAAGAATTATTCGTTCTTTTCAAGAATCGTTGTTTGACAATGAATACTTCGATGTTAGTATTTAGGCCAGGTTTGCCACCGATTATACATATTTACAAGATTCTGTATTTCGATATTCGATTATATACAAAATACAAAGGTATTTATAGGACCTCACATGATAGTAAGATCTTAGAAGCTGTCCGAAAGTATGCTAAAATAGGTAGTTGTCTGATCGGGGTAAGAATAGAACAATAAAACATCGTAAAGATTTCTATTAACAGTTTCCTAAGAGCATTAACTGGTCGAAGTAATTTCAGAATTTTTTCTGACTCTTCCAAGGAATTATTGAAGACTTCTGACAACACTGAATTTCAGTGATTCTACAGATGTAAATCAGCCACGGAAAATTTTCTTATTCCCGTGTCCAAATAGCCACTTCTGTTTTAACACCACCTTATTATCAAATACCTAAACAATTATTAGGAATTAACGAGCAAACCAGATAAATCATGTCACTAGATCTATAAAAATGTTGTACGTTCTATGGTGTTGATAACTGACAGAAAACAACACAATCCTGATAGACTTTATAACATGACTTTTTTTGTTTTATCTTAAGGTTTAGTTCGATTTGGTCTATCGTAACTAAGAATACAAACGGTGAAGAAAGTTCTAACGAGGATAGACTATTGGGAACTCGAAAAGGCAGTAACTGATACGCACCTCTTCAGCGATAATCCCCAAAGATGTAACCGAATAAGATATTAGAAGTGCAGAAGGCAATTTGATGTTTACAAAGACAGAATCAAAGTGAAACAAGTCTCTGTGAAATCAATAAACATGACCGTGATTCAGAAAAGTTAACAAACATCATGCAGAGAAAATTGTACCTATAATTATCGTTGCAAGAAAGAAATAACGCATATTCACAAGGAACCAGACAACCTGGATTTCTTCTAGCAAATGGTACCAAAGTCAAGCTGTATGATTCAATCTGCAAAATTCCGTTACTGAACAGATTTTAATTATTACATCAGTCACTGTATATATCTAAGTGTTGAATGAAACAATATAGGACAGTTTGAAAAAGATCCTGAGCATAATTTTATTTTAAAAAATACTTTCTCGTTGTTTCTATTAGAGACTAATTAATTTATCTTCGTTGTTATATGTTGTGCCATCAGTGGATTATTTTTTATCTTATCCTTTGATCAGTTTTCATTATATTTGAACTATGACTGGTAGTAAAATCCAAAACCCTTGATTTGATGCGAATAGTGTGGCTTACTGATGACATACTTGTTTACAGCATAATTAAGATAAACATGATTTAAATTCGCTTAAGACGTAAATGATTATTGGATTGTAAAGTTGACGGAACCTTTTTCACAATTCATATAAATTTTCTTGTTACGCTAAAGTAATTTTAGTTAGTACTACTTTGGTGCACCTTTCAATAGCACAATATTTACAGAAAGCTATTCATTCATCTAGCTCAACCTCTGAAAGTAACGACTTAAATCTTAATGATTTACTGATGACAGCCAGCGAAAAAGCTTTGATTTTTTTTCCTAATACTGTGGAGTGGATGATTGGGGATGAATATGTTTAGATGTAATGCTAATGGGTAACAATTTGTTTGCGACTTTGTATTTTATCCATACTGTTCTAGTTTCACAAATCATCTGTTGACTACATCTTACTAATTATAACTTACCATGTATTCATTGCGCAAATAAACTAACTACAATACCTAGCGAATACTTGCAGTTAAGTTTAGCACGATGGAACAATTGAAATGAGAAATTTATGGTCGACTTGAATTGACTCAGAAACGAATGTCAGGCTTAACATTTATAAGAATCTTCTCTAATCTTTCTGTATTCCCCACTAAACCTAGATCATTTTATAGATACCCTCTTTTAAAATTCTTCTCGATCCCCATTACATTCTAATGCTTTCATTTCCTTAAGGCATTAACTTAATCTAAATCTTAAGAAACTCGACAATATTCACTATCCATATTTACCAATAAATACTCCATACTCATTTATCGACAATCAAATCAAAACCTATCACCTGGCCTTATCATAATCCAAGCTCTAATATTAATCATATTGAAGCCTATATTCAATGACTATTTGAATGATTGTGTTATAACTGTGAAAAATAATGCTGCTGATTAAGGGGTAGCGAATTATTGATCGGACCAAAGACGCACAAACACGTAGAACAGCCTAGGGTTCTGATTGGTCCCGCTTCCCTGTCTAACCCAGCCAGTTAAGTCCAGAACATAAGTCACAGCCTCGGATATATGAATCATTATATTTCAAACATACTTTGTTTATATACCAGTCAAGCAGACCACAACGTACCATAAAATAGAAAATAACATTGTACAATAATGGCCAGTAGGAAAATGACACGTTAAATAAATATTGACCAATAAGATGATACCATTTCATGTCCAAGGATAGCATCAGGCTTAACAGGATAATTTTCGGGATATTTTCCTGAATATCCCAACAGATTGTAATTCATATTTATTTACAAATGAATTTATGTTCCGATTTCATTGAGATTATAATTGACTCCAGTTTAAGGTTAGATAGAATCACGATATCGATCAGATCGACTAATTCTCCATATTCATAGCATGAAGAATTACCCCGAATTGTTCAGTTAAGCAGATTTAGCTATCTTGATTATTCTAAAACTAGTACCATTGAGAATCATGATAGTATGGGACATTTTTGTCCAAGATTTGAATATATCTTTTTAGTGGTGTAAGAATTTCTTGAGTCTTGAGAGAAGCATTTTATACTTCAAAGTTCATTATCAGAATCTGCTGTATCATACATTTGCGACAAGATTCTTTACATCAGTTTCCATCGTAATAAATGATCTTTTTTTCAAAGTAATAACTTTAGGATAATTAAAGAACCAGGAAAAACCTATATGATCTGAAAGTGAATGGGCAGCCAAATCAGAATAATGAGCAGTTACAAACTTTCTGGAACGAATTCGGATTTGTGTAAACAGTATGACTTTGACTATTTATCAGTCATAAACACCAGAGAACCTGGTATTCGGATGTGAATACAAATATATCCCTTAAGAATTAATCAGCTTTGGATTCCCTTTTACTTATGCTATTAGTCCACTTTATTGGTTTAGAAAAAAGGATCAATTAACTTTCTGAAAATAACAGATTGTTTTCAACAAGTTTATTCAACAATTTATCGAAAATTGGTCGTGTGAAAGGTTTAAAATATTGAAACATAGCCGACTGAGATCCTGATAAAACTACAAATAATTGTACGAGTAATTCCGTACTGGTATCAACTATACGAGTCAAATCTTCATTCTTTTAGACAAACCGATTGGTACGATTAACTGTGTTAGATTCCATTCGAGAATAAATTCCAATTCCTCCGCGTAATTCGTCGGGATGAAACTCATATATAAGATTGTGTACTCAGATTTAAGCCTTACTTTAAATGTGAGGGGTGTCAACAAATATCCAGCTGTCCAAATTGACATAAGTGGAGAAGAGTCCGAACCAGCGAATTATAGGTTGAAAGAAGGCTTTAATCATTAAGCCACTGTTTCTAACAGCTTACAAAATACCCTAGTAAAAGGTTATGGTTTCTTTATAAGTTAAAAGGGGTAATTATTGGAACCGGAACTTTACTAATATTCCTGTAGCGCAGAACAAAGGTTATTAGTCACCAGCGCCAACATTTTTACATTAACATTCATTTGATCGAAATGCAACGAATTAGGTTATCAGTTCTCTACATTTTCTCCACACATTTGGTGGTTTTGGAATTAGTCAGTTAACTTTTTGGTACAATGTACTTCAATGTGATCATATTGCAAAACACGATCATTTGATGTCAATGTAACTTAAATTTGTATCGGTCAATACAGTAAAAAAAAGAATGGGAATTATCGAAACGGAAAAGTATACACTGAAATCGACGTACGCCTTCCGTTCATTCGCCATACATAAAAAATTAGAAGAAACTTCTAAAGCAACTGCTTTATAACTGTGTAAATACTGTAACAAATCTTCATCTTTCAAAACTATTTAAACCCAATTATTACGTACGTTAAGTTCGTACATGTACTCAATCATTTCTATAAAGAGCTTGAAACCTATAACAGAGCTAACTATTGCATAATAAAGAAAGATTCACCAACACCATCACAGCGATTGACATATTCTGTACCTTTTGTCCTTTGAATAAACGACTACAATCGGATTCATACATCAAGTATAACATAAGATGAGAAAAAAATGTCAAAAACGCCAAATTGCTTGAAAGCACTTGTGAATGAAGATAAATAACAGCTAGTTAGTGTTTAAGATTTTTTAATACAAATTTTATTTACAAGTTGAATGAATATAATACGGGAAGTTGTAGAGATATTGCAGATCTTGTGCTTGTAATTACTTGTTATAATCAAACATATGGTATCGAACACAGATATTATTATGAAACTTCATTTCAAATACTATTGAAACATCACGCATAGGTTAGAGACAAAAGCGGTTTATTCTACTAAGATTTCCAGGATAATCTTTCTTATTGGGAATATGAAAGACTATTACGCTTCAACATTGAAAAGAAATTGATAATACACACGCAGGGACAGAGAGCAATGATCATAGTCTAAACTATTACAAGGAGCAGCATCGCTGATCGCTAATATTGCGATGAAATGACGCGATATTCTCACAAATCAGAAAACTTTTATGGTAAGACGTTGTATTAGTTAAACAAAGATGAAGTGTAATATTCGCTTTATAATGTTCAGTTATTGCTTAACTAATACAACGTCTTGTTATAAAATCTGTCTGATTTGGTGGTGGCAAGGTTGAAGGTTGTGATGATGGAGTAGCTTCCTGATTCTGTAGCACGGAGAAAGATGTGGCCTGCTGTTGATGTTGAAGGATATGTTGTGGGTGAGGTTGGGCAGCGCAATTTCCAGGATTGTTTGTTGGAAATCCAGATATTATACACTGGTTGCTACCAGGAGTGGGGATAGAGGGATCAATACAAGTTGAAGGCGGGGGAGTAGCAATATTTAGTGGGACACCGACAGGACCAGGGAGTGTAGATGTATCGAGATAATGTCTGAAAAATGGAGATGAAGTAGGTCAAGACAAAAAATCTTACTGTGAGATGGTTTATAATGCACAAGAGATGTAAAACTGACGTGTTTCTGATGAACACAAACATCTGAAAAAAGCAACGCTAGTCGCTACATCAACTTAACAGAACCACTTGAGCTCTTTATACTCGAAACGATAATCAGTATATTTAAATTGTTTCAGCCAAATTAGATAATGATAACATCCTCCTAGATAGTAATATTTTAGTGTTCAAGGACATTATTGACTGCACGGTAATAGAATTCTTACACAGAAAATTAGTGAAGACAAAGCTGAGTATTAATAAAGAAAAGATTATTATTATTATGTATGTACTATTTAAACTTATGTTAATTTAATGCGGTTATTTATTCACTCTGAAGAAGTGGCATACATTGAGTCACGAAACGTCAGAAATACAATTTTTTTGCTCATTAGGATTATAACAATGATCAGTTTATTCAAAGCTATCAAGTCCAGCATTGACATTGATACATACTATATCCTTCATATTAAAGCAAATTAACGAATATTTACGAATTGATATAGTAAGCTAAGTAGTTGTATGAAAGATAATGATCTCATTCAACTTGCTGAAACCGTTCGGAAAGAACAGGTTAATTGAAATTTATGTAATCCTGCTGAAGACTGTCAAAATAAATCACGATAATCATGATAGCCAAATAGGTGGAAGGAATTGGTTGTATTCAATAAAATATATGACTGGGGAAAATACGAATAGAACAAATGAGCAATTTTAAACTATAGGTGTTATACACATTACACATATGAATGAAGTTCTATATAGTGTTGAACATAATCAATAAAAATGATTGAGAATACAATTGTAATATTATATGTGTACATTAAAGGTATTCAAGGGAATACTTACTTGAGTTGAGCTTTAGGCTTAAGATAATCATCGTTGCTAAGTTGAAAGACATCCGGTCGGAGATCTTTTCTATACGTACAACACTTTCGAATAAATTCCTAAAACAATAAAAAATGAAATCAGTGAACTAACAAAAAAGGAAAAAAACTTGTAAGAATATTTTAAACACAATTTATTAGTAAGAAAATGTATCATGAGACAACTTCAAGTACTGGGTGTAAACTTTGGTAAGACATGAGGCAAATTTTAAATCGGTCATTTGTGATAATATTGCTTGCCTAAGCACAGAATTATTTGGCGAAGTTGTACATCACTAGTGTACAAAACGCCAGATTAATGAGATAAAAAATTGTCTCGAACAATATTGTTACTCAGTCTATCTATTACCAATAAAATATCAGTGGATTTAGAAAAATAACCAAATCATAATCACTAAACTATAGGCTGTGCTTTGACTGTATTCCTGATGAAAAAAAGATGAATTGTTTTTTGTGTCCTGTATATGTTGGTCCACAGATTTAAGTTAAATCCTATGGATTGATAAATTTAACTTTGTTAACACTGACTTGAGAGATAAGAAACTCTGGTTAGTGGAGAATGATTGGTCATAGTATTTTTCCGATGGTCGCGAACAGCAGATATTGCACGGAAATTTAAGCAGATCTATCCTAATGAATGGTAATAGGTCATAATCGGAAACATCTTGTAAGTTACCAACCGCATCAAGATTTGGTTATCTAATACACAGAAAACAAACAATGAAGTAAAAGACAAGGATGAATGACTTATGTGACGTACTACTAACTGAAACGAAAGTGAGCTAAGCATGTGAATCCAACACGAGAAATTCTACAGTAAGTGAGCAAAACAGGCTTACTTTTGCGCCGTCGCTAACTTTTGTAGTGGAAGGGAATACAATGGATCGTGCATGGAGAATTGTATTTTCGTGCAAAATATCAGCTTGGGACATATTATGACCGAATGGCTATATATTGGAAAAAAATAAACGAAAAATGTATCTATTGTTTATATACCAGTGATACTACTTCAATATCAGAATTAAAAAGAAAAGTGGTTTTCTCATCATGGAATGGCGTGAAATGAATAAACCAGAAATCACCTGACAATTGATCCATTTTGGTTTGGGACTTCTCAGCAATGCATCATATGGGAAACAAACCTGAGGAACTTCAATTTTCGTGACAAATACGACACATTAGACGATTATCAGAACTCAACTTCGATCGACTAGCGACTTAGAGATGATTATTCAATGATATCGCTGCTATAACTGTGTTATATCGATATGATTGGTCACCAATTAAACAGCAGAACTGCAAGGATTTATTTCAAGGCTTATCATTACTAGTAAATAAATGGCTACACTTAAATACGTGGTTTATGGGGTTTTAACTCAATTTTAAAACTTTTCTGTCTAGCTATCTAGTCTTTCTTGGCCTTCAACTGTTTGGCAACTGATCATTTCTTCAAGCTAGGTTATCCGATGGAAAGATAATGCTGTCAATAAAATGTAGTAGTTAGAGAAAAGGTAGGCAGTATAAATGTAAAATAACTAATTAGTTTTTAAGAACAATAATAACTTGTTGAAAATAAGTGGGAAATTACAGAAAACTAACTTTTTTTCCAAACAAACACTGAAAGAAAATTACACCAACAGACCATATATCCACTTTTGAAGATATTTTTGGAGGTTCCCGCCCTGTCTCAAAACATTCCGGTGGTAAGTACCAATAAGTGCCTGCTCCTTGGGAGGTTAAATCCATTCCAGTCTCTGGATTGTATTTATCTTCTGTCATAAGTTTACTTAAACCAAAATCCGTGATTTTGATTTCACCAGCAACTTGGCCGGAACCCAGTAAAATATTACCTGTAATGAGTTAGTAAAGTAGTAAGTAAAGTCACGCACAATATAACCATTACGGAAATTCATCACAATGTTTCGTTTTGCCTGAAAACATTTTGATGAAAAAGATACAAATAATCATAAGCGTAGAAGGAAGCACTGTGACTTATTATGTATTTGCGTCTCATATAAATGAAGATGTATTAGTTTGAATACGTGTAACAAACACATAAATCTCACTTGTTTATGGAAACAATGCTACACCGTCAACTCGGTGCTTAATACTTTATACATAAAAATGTTATTCTGATGGAAGAAATACTTATTTTATTGGCTAGTTGACCTGCCTTTCGATAATAATTCATCCAGAATTAATCTGTATTGCTTTTTCTAATCTTCCCATTGACGTTTAAAGACTGTAATTGATTAGTCTCTTTTGATAGATTTAGATCCTGTTTGGACTGCCTCGACATTGACGTTTAGTCACGAGGATTTCAGAGATTTTTATTTTTTATTTTTTTTTATTATTATTATTAGCTTTATTCAATATTATAAATTTGGTACAATATAGAATTCTCAGCGCAAAGTATTTCAACAAGTTTCCGTTTCTTTCTTCTTGGTCGGTCCTGGCGATAAATATTGAGGAATCGACAGTTAGATGTTAGCACTTCAGTGAATGAACAACTGAATAATGTACATTCTTTTCGTTGTACATTGCCAGCAACCATATTGTCTCTTATTGAGTTTTCTGTAACTTTGACAACGAAAGTTGTACACTTTTCAGAAACGCAGCAGAATACATCATGCGATTAATAAACATTATGATATATTAAAACAAACAAAAATAGATAACTTGTTGAAATATCTAGATGGCAGGAACAGGTAGCCCAGATGCTCAAGCAGGCCGCCCTATAGCTAGCAGTGGAATCCATATGTAAGAGATGGCAGTGAAACTAACTGCGCAATTATTTAGGAAATTAAAGTGCATTTCAAGTCATAGCGTTTTAATAAACATTACAGAACGGAAAAAATAATCATAAGGTAAGCGCAGATTTACAACTGTACATACCTGGTTTCAAGTCATAATGAATTACTGGAGGTTTACGTTCATTTAAATATTTCAAAGCAGAAACCACTTGGCATATAATCGACTTGGCTTCACGTTCCGGAATACTTTTGTTTTGTTTAAGAAAGAAATCCAAGTCATTACCTTCGCTGTATTCAAGTACAGTACAAAATCTACAGAACCAAAAATATACGAAAGAGAGTCTAAGAATATGTGATGATTTCAGGAATAAGCAAACTGAATGACATATTTGTATACTGAACGCGAGATGAATGAAAATCATAAGGTAATGGTCAGAGTTAGTCAACAAGAAACCCTGAGCGTAAGTTTTGTGACATATGGCACTCGTTAGCAAAGTGTATCTAATGCTACCTGTAAGATTTGACCCCGTGTCACCCAGCTTTACAGTCAGAGACGTTACCACCTAGCTGTTTGGGCCACGACTGACCTGTAGGACTGAGATGCAATAACCATTTGATAGATTATTGAGTAGTGACCAAGTTCATGTATTTCAAGTCCATCTTGGTGATCGGATTCTATCAACCAATTTGTAGTGTACCACTAGTCTGCGTGACTCGAGATCGTGTACATTATGTTGAGATGTAGCACGAAACCTATGTTCAGAGTTTCTTGAAGACTACCTCTAACCATCATCTTGCATCTTAATATATTGCACAAGAAGTCGTCACTTAGACTAGTGGCTATATCGCAACTTGATCGATAGGATCCGATCAACACTAAGAATTTGAGGTATATGAAATCGGTCACTACTCAGTGATCAATCAATGGAGAATGGAAATTATGTACATGACCCGAACTCTGAGACTACTAGTATTAATATTTTTTATAGAACCTCAGTTCTTAAGTAAAATACAGAGAGTGGATAATAGTTAGAACCACAGTTAAAAGTTGATCATTTAAATAAACCAGTGTGAAATTCTTATTTTATGACTATATTACTTATTAGTAATCATGGTTCATCCCCTTTACTGGTATATCATTGGTTAAATTAATTATTGACAAAATGACTATGCTCTTTTGGTTGTAAAGTGTTTTACATGGACAGCCGTATTTAGTTAGTCAGTCAGCTACAACGTAGGACCAGGCACATATGTGCATCGGCCCAAGTTGCCATACCTCATCAGCACAACAAGATGAACACCTATCATTTTTACGTTTGACTGGTTTACAATTGACTTTTGTTTTTGTCCTATGATCTTGAATGTAAGATAAAGTCGAGCTAATTATGATTAATTATAGAACAACATATATGCTTGATAAATACTTATAAATATTTCTGAGTAACCACGACAATCTTCTGACTTAAATAGACCTCGGATGTGTTATTCAAGTGAATCTGACACAGGATATATTTACACGAAAACATAACAAGACCTTCATGAAGCAGCAGTTGTGATGTATTAAAGGTGAATAAAGTGAGTATGTGGAGATGAACGTTTGCATAGAGCATATTACGTTTAAAAATTGGCTAGAATACAATACAAAGACAGTTACCATCAACTTAGGTGTAGGATGCTGGTCAGAACAAAAGCAAGTTGGAATATGAATAAAGTGCAAATCAGAAGACACCGCGGATCTATACTATCAATAACTGGAGGTATGAATTATTTAAGTCTAGCACAAGCTACTTGAGGTCTGATGAAGAATCCCAACAGATTATTTTAGTTGATGTAAGCCAAAATTTTCAAAGTAATATCATTCCATAATTCTCTACATTTGGTTTTTTCAACGTTTTTAAATATCTTGTATACATCAGTAATTACTATCCCACAGTCTCCATTCCATTTTCGAAATTATTTTTATATTTTTATGATCACTTATTTTGTTGCCGATTTTTTGTGTTGTAGACGCTGGCTTTGGGTAGTTGTACGAGAACTTTATTTAATTTTTTTGGAAAAGCTTTTGATCCCCTTAACCGTGAAATCACAGTGATTTCAGTTGAACTGCTTTCAGCTAATATGTTCAATTTCAAATGCTTATACAAAGTAAATATTATTTTATGAAGAATATTTCAAATAGGATAATCTACAAATTTTTGTTTGAACTTTAAAATTTCATATTATATTTCCCACACCAAATATTATTTACCGACTTCATTATGAAGTCAAGCTGACTTAAGCCTTATATTGGACAAGATTCATGGTTTAGTAGGCGGTATTAATTGACAAGGTTTTCTCTGTAGAATAGTGCCCATGCCAAATGTGATTGTAATCCAGTATGAGTTAATGTACACTAAACAAATTTTTTTATCAAATTATGTGCTTTGTTTTGAATTTATTACCAACCGAGACCCAGCATCGCAATTTAGATTGTGTGAAATAGTGACTATCAATCGAATGTAGGATACATGTTCCTCTTAGTATAAAAACGGGAAACGATAATGAATAAGCTTTCGTGTATGCAATGTTAAGATATGAAAGTTGACAATTAAACTTACGCATCATGATCGATATCAAACACATCGAATACTTTTACTATCCTCGGATGGTGTAACGTTTTGTGAATCTCAATCTCTCTTAACGCATGTCTATAAAAAATATTCGATTATTTTCAGAAAAAGAAATTAGTTAACATCATATTACTCAAATAAAATTAAGTAACCACTGACTCTAAAATAGCTTGCGAACACTAAACGGCATAGAGAAAACCTTTAGGAATAAGCAGATAAAAAACAAGCTTGTCTATTGATAAATAGATGCGTTTGGTGTTAACGTCAAATTTCATCACTTAAAAAATGGTATAAACAATAAAAAATACTAGATATGAAACTAAAGGTACCCCTACCTCAATAACGGCTGACTTATTAGAATTAACTAAAATAAAATTATAACATCGATCAGTTCATGATTTCAAAAAAATTTAACAATCTTCACGACCCCATATGGACAAAAAGTGTTCTAGTTCAAGCAAAATAATATTAAAGGAGACAGAAATGTAAAATACGGAATACTTGGACTATATTGACGATCGTTAGAAAGATCACGCGATAAACCGGAGCCAAGAAAGACATGAAAATTCACATTATATATATATATATATATATATATATATATAAAGACGGTCAAGCTTCGAGCCACAGTGTTTTTCACAACTCTGGTAAAAACGATTGATTCAAAAATCGAAAATGTTTCGGAAAAGGAAAAACACGACATTTTGTTGAAATACTCGAGGTTATTAGCTAACAGCGATCAGAATATTACTTACTTACGCCTGTTACTCCCAATAGAGCATAGGCCGCCGATCAGCATTCTCCAACCCACTCTGTCCTGGGTCTTCTTTCCTAGTTACATCCAATTCTTGGTCATTTTCCTCATGTCTATTTCCATTTCTCGGCGTAATGTGTTCTTTGGTCTTCCTCTTTTCCTTTCGCCTTGACGATTCCATGTGAGGGTTTGTCTTGTGACGCAGTTGGGTGCTTTCCTCAATGTGTGTCCTATCCACTTCCAGCGCCTCTTCCTGATTTCTTCCTCCGCTGGGATCTGGTTTGTTCTCTCCCACAGTAGGTTGTTGCTGATAGCGTCTGGCCAACGGATCCGAAGTATTTTCTGTAAACAACTGTTAATAAACACTTGTATCTTCTGAATGATGGCTTTCGTAGTTCTCCAGGTTTACGCCCCATACAGTAGAACAGTATTGACATTTCTGATCTTGATGCTGGTTAACAGTTGTTTTGAGTTCCAGATGTTTCTCAGTTGTAAATATGTTGCTCTTGCTTTGCCGATCCGCGCCCTCACATCTGCATCAGATCCACCACGTTCATGAATGATTCTGCCCAAATATGTAAATGTTTTTACATCTTCCAAATCTTCTCCGTCAATTGTGACTGGATTGGTGCATGCTGTGTTGTATCGGAGAATCCTGCTTTTCCCTTTGTGTATGTTGAGACCTACTGCTGCTGAGGATGCTGCCACACTGTTCGTCTTCTTCTGCATTTGTTGTTGCGTTTGGGATAGAAGGGCCAGATCATCTGCGAAGTCTAGATCGTCCAACTGCATCCTAGATGTCCATTGTACCCCGTGCTTCCCCTCAGATGATGATGTCTTCATGATCCAGTCGATCACCAGAAGAATGAGAAAGGGTGAGAGTAAGCAACCTTGCCTAACACCGGTCTTCACTTCGAACGACTTTGTCAACTGTCCTCCATGCACGATTTTGTAGTGTAATTCATCATACGAACTCTGTATGATATTGACTATCTTCTGAGGTACTCCATAGTGTCGAAGGAGATTCCATAGTGTTGTTCTGTTCACGCTATCAAATGCTTTTTCGTAGTCAATGAAGTTGATGTAGAGAGATGAATTCCATTCAATTGATTGTTCCACAATGATCCGTAGAGTTGCGATTTGGTCTGTACACGATCTATCCTCACGGAATCCTGCCTGTTGGTCACGAAGTTGGGCGTCTACGCAGTCCTTCATCCTGTTTAACAATACCCTTTTGAAGACTTTTCCCGGTATTGAGAGAAGAGTGATGCCCCTGTAGTTATCACAGTTGCTGAGATCGCCTTTCTTCGGTATTTTTATCAGAACTCCTTCTTTCTAGTCTTTTGGTACTTGTTCTTCATCCCAAATCTTATTGAAGAGAATGTGGAGTATCCTTGCAGTTACTGCTACGTCTGCTTTTAGTGCCTCTGCTGGTATGTTGTCTGGTCCTGTTGCTTTTCCACTCTTGATTTGCCTGATGGCCATGCTTATCTCCAATTGTTGGTGGGCCAACATTGATTGGGAGGTCCGTGGGTGCTGCTTCGATATTGGGTGGGTTCAGTGGGGCTGGTCGATTCAAGAGTTCTTTGAAGTGTTCTACCCACCTGTTTTGTTGTTCTTCGATATTGGTGATTACCTCGCCTTCTTTGCTTTTCACTGGTCGTTCTGGTTTGCGGCGATTTTCAGAGAGTTTCTTTGTCGTGTCATACAGTTGTTTCATGTTTCCTTCTCTTGCAGCTTTTTCCGCCGTCGTTGCTAAATCTTCCACATATATACGTTTGTCGGTTCTGATGCTCCTCTTCACTTGTTTGTTTACTTCTGTGTATTCAGCTTGTGTCTTGGTTTTTTCTGCTCTTGTTCAACTGGTAATGATTGCTGCTTTCTTGTTCCTCCTTTCTTGAATCTTATCCAATGTATCAACATTGATCCATTCCTTATGATGGTGCTTCTTGTGACCCAGAACCTCATGGCATATTGAAGTGATTGCCTCTTTGATCCCATTCCAGTTGCTCTCTATAGTAGTTCCTTCTACATTGAGTAGATCATGAAAGGCCTGGAATCTATTGCTGAGGACTATCTTGAATTTGTTGAGTTTGTCAGTATCCTGAAGAAAGGCTGTATTAAACTTTTGTGATATTGTCCTCCCCGTTGTCCAGTGCTTCTTGAGTTTCAATTTCATCTTGGCGACCAGCAAGTGATGATCTGATGCTAAATCAGCTCCTCTCTTGGTTCGCACGTCCTCCATTGTCCTCCTGAACGTTTTCTTGATGCAAATATGGTCGATTTGGTTTTGCGTGGTGCGATCCAGTGAAGTCCATGTGGTTTTGTGTATGCGTTTATGTGGGAATATGGTGCCGCCTATGACCAGTTTATTGAAGACACATAGGTTTGCAAATCTCTCACCATTTTCGTTCCTTTCTCCCAGTCCGTGTCGTCCCATGATGTCTTCATATCCAGTGTTGTCCGTTCCAACCTTGGCATTGAAATCTCCCATCAGAATAGTCAGGTCCTTTGTTGGTCACTTCTCGATGATTGACTGCAGCCTATTGTAGAATTGATTTTTAGCGTTTTCATTGTGGTCGTTGGTAGGCGCATAGCATTAGATGATGTTCATTGAAATGCCCTTTTTCTTTGTTTTGAAGGAGGCTTTGATGATCCTTGGTCCATGAGATTCCCATCCTATAAGTGCGTTTTGTGCTCGTTTGGACTGCATCAATGCAACTCCTTGTGTATGTGGGGCATTTTCTTCTTCATGGCCGGAGTATAACAAACCAGAATATTACTATTTTAATATTAAAATATCCATGTTGACGATGTGAGAAATTCTGTTTACAATAATCGAGATACATAGATATACTATAATACCATACTAAGCCTTCAGTTAAATTTTTACATGAAAACGATTAACTAGAACTTAAAACGTTCTTGGATCACGATTTGTGCGTTGGATTTTTCACAATTATTTCTACCATAAACTATTTTGGTGTCATGAGCAGCAATGAAAAATGGAGAGTAAAAAGACCACTACCACTGAGAATCTTAGCACTAGTCAAAGGAACTGGAGGTAGATTTAATGATATACAAAATATTGTGAACGATACAATGAGAAACCAGATAAACAACCTAACTAGTACTGTTACCAAGGTGTGAAATACTTTTCCCACTGACAAGAGTAGATCCATTTGAAATGACATAAACTGTCGTCAAATATCTATATGAACACCATTTCTAACGCATTTTGGGAATACAAAAATCATAGTCATTATTAATTCACTTGGTACTGTTTTACTTGAATCTTCGCATTGTTGTTTAGGACTGCAATTGATCAGTCTCCTATTGGCATGTGTGCATACTGCGCATATTGCCTCGATATTGCCTTAATTTGCAAGTATTATAAGCAAAGATGGCTAGCAGTGGAATCCAGGACGCGCGTGTCGTCCTACTTGGTATTCGTCAGCTGGATGTACCTGCATCTCAGAGTCGATGTTCACTCTGGGACTCGGAACCAGTAACGTTCGCTTCAAACGCCATCGCGTTATCCACTTAGCTACTGAGTCCTGATAGTCATTATTGTTGAGAAACACGTTTGTGATTATTGCAGAAAATGAGTTCGAATTATTATTGTTTGTTCGTATTCATCAGGAAATTCTTACTTAACTTTGAAACATGTGAATGTTCGAGTTCAATGATACTTTAGTCCCAAAAAGAATAATGATTGATTTAATTTCCATAACATGCTATGTCAACTAGCTTGATCGATCTTTTAAAATGGATTTCAGCTGAACTGGATCAACTGTATGATTAAATCAATTCCATGATTCATTATTTCAAACAGATTCATTAGTTCAAATCTAAACGACAGGGTACTAAACGTTTCTACAGGATTTTTAAATTTCTTACAAGACTCATAAGCCTGGTAATAAATAAAAGTCATAATATTGTCTATCTACCAAGTACTAATTCATGTGAACGACTTTGTGGGAGTTTAGGTGCGAAAGTAAACAATAATATTCATCTGTATAAACTGATGTGGGCGAGGTGGAGTCGAAGTATTCAGTTCACTAGTTAAAACTTGAGTGCTTTATACATTAAGCAACCGTACTCTAATAGGATTGGGAAAATTACGGGGCAGTGTGTAGATAAATATAATTACACAACTTTTTCTAATGAACTCGGCACACAACAAGCCAACATAGATACACGGACACTATATATATATATATATATATATATATATATATATATATATATTCACTTACTTAATGTAGTTATCTTTTTTATCTTTAGGCCAAGAAGGATTAAGCTGATGAATTTTACAAGCAACATATCGATTAGCTACGAGATCAAAACCCTGAGCAAACAAAAAGAAACGAGAAAACAAAACATTTGAGAATATTTAAAGAAATATTATATGAAATAAATTGATAGAAATTATTTTATCATCATAATTAGTATGACACTGAAGCGCTCCAGATAACAAATACTTATCAGCCGAATTTATTTCGGTGTATATAGTAGTATTAGTTAAATGCTGCTACAACGAAATGGTGTGAATGGGTTACACCTTGATAATTAATGGTAACTTTACTAGTGCTTCCAATGGGTTGAAGAATATGCATTGAGATGTAGCCTATGTTTAATCAACTTATTTATTAAGTATAGGTTTAATGTACTTTATTGTGAATAGTATTGTACGTAATAGTGCCAGTGAATGACGTTGGAGAAGCGGTTTTCGCCTCAAAATATTTTAGATAAAAATTTGTTGGATCGGTATCTTTTTATAGCTACTAGATAGTCTTCAAGACTCAGTCAAACACTGGTACTGTAATCACCATTGGTTATGGTAATTAGTACATTTATACGAAATGTATCCATTTTGATTTATCTTGTAGTGGTTGGATACAGGATCAAATTAGAACAAATTAAATACGGTAAGCGAAAAAACAGTACCTAATAAATAATTTACTTACTATGTTTCAGTTATCTAGCTTGTAAGATGGACAAGTGGAGAACAAATAAATTTATTACACTCATTACTTTTATTAGTCTACTGAATACTATTTTATATAAACACACTGAAAATGAAAAACCGGTTGGATAGACATTATACAGAAGGTAAGATTTAGACACAGGCTGCTATAATTCACATCAGCAGAGGAGAGTGAGAAACAACTAAATAGGCCACAATCCATTGAGATAACATTAAAATGAGCTTTAACGACATACATGACGCGCACTTCGAAATTATGCATTATACGTTTCCATCAGGATTGGATGCAGTTTCAATTTTAAGACTTATACAAAGGGATAGCCAACTCAATCGGTATTAATCAACGTATAGACCAATTTATCATGTGACATTAGCATGAAAGATGAAATAAACAAAACGAATGGCGAAGGAGTTGAAATAATGCAGTGGCAATAGGAATTGAAATTACCACGCATTGAGATGGTTAGATTTTAGTTATTTGAACAAATAAATATTGGTACAAAGGGGCACTGAATACATATGGGCAATACAAGTCACATGGTTTGTGCGTGGGCTATGATGCTGTTCGGGCGCCCAAACCGAAGCAGGTGGTTTTCTTAGGGAGTCACATCCGGAGCCATTCGACCTAAAAGTCTGATCCACAAGGCAGTGGAGCAAAATCAGATGCAGTCCCATGGTAGCCGGTGACCAACAATAGGTTCATATGCCGTTTGCTCCTTCAGAATCCTGGAGCCCATGTGCATCATTGGTTTGGAATCAGGGTTTTACAATTCTCTTAGGTGGACTCTTCGTGTCCACCGAGCCGGTGAAAGCACCGGACATTCGCTTTTCGTCCTCTCAACTTCGTAAACAACACCCCCGTCACGAGAAGGCATTGAGTAGGACTTCCCTGGCAGTGGCTGTATATGAGGGCCATGTGAGAGCGTTTCGAGAGGGAGTTGACTTTCCCCACTCTCCGCCGTACCAGGGCATTTGGGGGCCTGGTTGGAGAAGACGGAGTGAAAATGTATATACAGGGAAATTTTGGGACTCAAGACCTAACGGAAGATAGAGTGAATGTAACTATGATTGATTCGGAGTCATACCACCAAACATCAATGCTGAGGTTAAGTATAGAGTACTAGCTAAAGGGGATAAACCGGTTGACGAGGTTATAAATATTCATTGGCTCTAGATCTTGATTTCCACTATTCCTCCAAAAATACCTTTTCACTCTGCCTTTTTGAACAATATTCCAAATGTTCAGTCTTTTTCACCATCATCATCATCGGATTATTTAGACCCCTTTTGTTGTTTTTATGTTGTCGTGTTAATGTGATGTGGCAAGTTGGCAAATGCACATATCACGTATCTACGTTGATGATGACTGACGCTCACTGTCTCCAACTACTACCGGTTATCGCGCGGACCCTAACCAAGTAGTCTGCATCTAACAACATGAATCATTTCGACAGCCAACGATTTCATAGATAGGTGATGGCTAATCATAGGTAACACATAGTGATAGACACTTTAGTTTTCTCTTCCACAACTGAATTGCCTGGGACGTACGTCACATAAACTTAGCCACCACACTCCTCGACACAATTCTGGCTGGTCAGTCGGTCAGCTACAACGTATGACCAGGCACATATATGCATCGTTCCAAGTTGCCATACCTCACATCAACACAACAAGATAGACACCGGATTCATAAAAGTAGTTAATTCAGAGGTGGTAATATATAAAAGGAAGACTGCGATAAGGATATAGTACAGGAAGAAAGAATTAGTTCGTAGAAAGAAATATATGAAGCAATTTTAATCTCTTAGTTTAAGGGAAGACAGAGAGTGTATACACCGACGCCATTGTGATCGATTCTGAGCCATGTCACCAAGAGTCTCCAACCATTGGTTACGATAGTCACGCCGACTCAAACCAAGTAGTCTGCATCAACCAACATGGCTCAGACTAGAAGTTAGTGACTTCAAGCACTAATGCCACGTTTTGGTTTGGCCATCCCTAACTTCCTTCCAACCATACCCAACATTAGTCACAGCATTGCGCGTGAGGTAGTCGGTGTTCGGAGATACGTGGCACGTGACTCAACCATCTCAATTGATAAAGATTTGCAACCCCATCAACTGACTCACCATCATTCCCTTATACCCTGCGTCTAGCCTCACTATTACTTACCCGGTGATCCCAGCAGACGCCAGCAATATTTCTGAGGCACCTGTGGTCAAATACTAGTAGCTTATGAGTGTCTTCTACTCTTAAGGGCCATGTTTCGCTGCCGTAAATTAAAACAGAACGGACTGTCGCGCAGTATACTCGTCCTTTTATTGATAAACGGATATCTTGCCTTTGCCATGGGTGACGTAAGTTGGCAAAAGTCAAACGGGCATTTTATCAGCGTCTTAACCAAACAGGACTATGTTATTTGTGTATTCTAAGTCGATAAGTGGACCTCCTGGAAGGAGATCAATGCCCGGGAATTCAGTAGACGAGAATGTTATTTTCATCAGTAGGTCTATGATGAAGTTAAACAAAAATGGAGAAAGTGGACAGCCTTGACGGACACCACTTGAGGTTGCAAAATCAGATGACAGTTCGCCATAAGCTCTGACTCGACTGGCAGTGTTCGAGTAAAGAGCCTTCACAAGGTTTATGTACTTCTGAGGTACGCCTTTCAATGACAGACACTGTCACAGAATCTCGCGATCTACGGAGTCAAATGCTGCTTTTAAGTCAAGAAAGACCACCATTGTCGGACGCCGATAAGTATGCCTATGTTCTAGAACCTGACGAATGGTGAATATGTGGTCGATGCAGCCACGACCAGGTCTGAAGCCAGTTTGATTCTCTCGTGTTTGCAGTTCACGAGTCTTAGTTAGGCGTCTGATAATTATCGAGGCTAGTATTTTAGATACTATATTAGTTAAACTAATCCCTCTATGGTTGTCACAGGATGATTTTAACCCTCTCTTATATATTTGGACGATAAGTGATTGTGACCAGTCAGATGGAATAACGTCTAACTCCCAGATCTTAGCTAAAATATTAGTCAACCTAATCGCTAAAATTGGACCACCATCCTTAAAGACTTCTGGAGCCAATCCATCTGGACCAGCTACCCTTCCTCGTTTCAGATTAACTATAGCCTTTTGAACTTCTGCTAGAGTTGGGGGACCTACTTCAATGTTCCATTCACACTGTCTGGGAATGGAGGGTAGTTGTAGAGTAGCTGAAGGCCAGCTGAACTGTTCTCTGAAATGTTCCGTCCATCGTTCTAAACGTCTGGACTGGAAGCAGATGAGTGTCGTCTTTTTCCGAAATAGTTTGACTTACACTTGACTTATTAATTCCAGTTTCTTTTATTAGTCTGTAGAGCTGTCTGGTGTTACCTACAGCCGCTGCCTTTTCCATCTCTTTTGTTTTCGTTGACCATCACTGCTCACGGTCGTTCCTTAAACTTTTGGTTAACCTAGATCTGATTTGTTTTTGCTCTTCATCGTGTTCAGAGCCTGATGGGATGAGTTTACGAGAATCCATCAGTGTAATAGACCTTGAGGAAATCCATTGGTTCATTCTGGCTGGTGCAGGAGTATGTTAGAAAAAGGTGACCATGAACTAGAAGTAAACAATGTCTATGTCTAGTTTTTTATTGATCATATTACGTTTATGATGAGAACGGACTACTTTATTGAAGCAAGAAAAAGTGAAGTCTAAGAATGAACAACCGACCTTGTGAACTTCCGAGAATCCACCTTTGCCCAGTAAATTAAGCAAAAGATATCGTTCATTCAGTAATGGATGATCTTTAAAACGAGATGCATCTTCATTAGAAATTCGTTTAATTTCTCGAATATGCAAATTTCTTTCTCGATCTAATCGCTCTAATTCCATTTGAATTTCTTTATCTTCTTTAACAAGCATCTGTTTACGTAAATCATAAATTTCTAATTGTTCATAAAATTCATCCACGGAGACTCTAGAGAGAAAGAAAACAGTAATAACAATTATTATCCAATCATTTTTTATTCATAATTTGGAAATTCTCAATATACAAGATATAGGGTAAAAATTAGAGTATGACAACAGTACAAACTGATTGATTTATAAGCATGAAGAGGTACCAATTTTGAGGATCAAAGTTCAAAAATAGGAACACGCTTGAGCGGCAACTTAAGCTAATCCATGAAAATGTCTACGAATGATTCACAACTAAGAAAGTGTGAATTATGCCCTTCCAAAACAACTGACTTCCAACCAATAGATCCCAGGTTCAAACACATCCTTATCTACGTACGCTATGGCAGCCTGGTAATATCACTAAATGTATTAAAACTAAAGTGAGGTTCAAAGCCAATTACATAAACCAGTACATAGTAGATGAGTTACGTGATAAAAACGTATGGCTGAAATAAAAACACATAGTACCTATGTGATGAACCTGACAAATGTTTATTATGCTTAACCACTGCCTATTTAATATTAAGCAGAAGTACAATGAACGATTCAAAAGTGTTAAACCCCAGAATTCACTTCTGCAATTTTATTTTGGAAATTTGAATTTCTTGTTTCCGCTTCAAAAACGCCCATTTTCACCTTCATGTCGTATTTCCTACTTGGGAGAACTTTAAATGTCATTGGTCAGTTGTTTCTCTTAATATGTGATTTTGTAACGTATATACTCTTGAATTGTCCTTGTGGTTGTTGTTCGTGCTTCTGGCTGCTTGTGGAATACATTTCCTTCTCTCAACATGAACGTATCATTCTAGTTAGCGGGGCTGGGATGCATCGTTCAGTTCGCAGATTAGGTGAACTCGTAATCTCTCGAAACATAGCAACGGGAGAACAATTTCTGAAGACTTTCGACTGACAGTTTGAAAATAAACCATGAATTGTAAGCATTCTGAATGGTGTTAGTTGGACAATAGAAATCGGTAATAGGAGAAACAAAGTAGGATTATTCGCCCATAATTGATTACAGTATTTTGATGCATCTTTTCTTTAAGCTTTTGCGAAACGTATATATCATATTGTTTCATTGATTTTTCCTACTATTCAAAAATGTTTTTGACATCTAGTGCTTAAGATTTGGTGATATTATTACGGACCATCTTGAGTCAATAATTTTATATAGCATTATCTAACTTATTACTGAAATATCAAGGGTTACAAACACCGGAAGTCCATTTCCACCAGTTAAGACGTTTTTGGTAAGGATAGTATAATTAGTACACATAAAACTTTACACAAGAAAAAATAAACTTTAACTTACTCATCGTATTTAGATTTAGTACTCTTTTTAGCATCCCCAACATTTGGTTTACGCTTGTTCCATTGTTTCTTTTTACGTTCAATCTCTTCACGAACAAGTTCAATATTCTTACGGCGCCTGAAGAAATAAACAGGAAAATAGAAAAGTTTGAAATTAGCAGAATGACATTATTGTGTGAGCCCACAAATACCGAGGGTGGGAGAGTTAACTCTCTCTCGAAACGCTCTCACATGGCCCTCATATACAGCCACTGCCAGGGAAGTCCTACTCAATGCCTTCTCGTGACGGGGGTGTTGTTTACGAAGTTGAGAGGACGAAAAGCGAATGTCCGGTGCTTTCACCGGCTCGGTGGACACGAAGAGTCCACCTAAGAGAATTGTAAAACCCTGATTCCAAACCAATGATGCACATGGGCTCCAGGATTCTGAAGGAGCAAACGGCATATGAACCTATTGTTGGTCACCGGCTACCATGGGACTGCATCTCCTGATTTTGCTCCACTGCCTTGTGGATCAGACTTTTAGGTCGAATGGCTCCGGATGTGACTCCCTAAGAAAACCACCTGCTTCGGTTTGGATGCCCGGGTAGTGTCACTGCCCTCACCCAAATCAATGATAACTGCTACTGGCCTCATCATTGTGTGGCGTATCTGTATTCAGTGCCCCCTTGTACCAATGTTTATATGTTCAAATAAATAAAATGTTATCATTGTTATTATTATAAGCGTTACAAACCATACCAATTTTACAATAAGTATTCTTAAAACGATACTTATCAAACAGATTTCGTGGTCAAAATTTAATCTTAAAACAAGGACGAAATAAATAAACGAGACAACTTATTTATATGGTAAAATCTTATGTGCTCAAGTTTGAGTCACACTATTTATGTATAAAGACCATTGATGCTAATATAGTTGCCTAATTCGAAGTAGGGACAGATGAGTTACCCTACCTAATAAAAAATACTCGTCTATAATCCGTACTTATGCTTCACTTCCCAATGATTTTGAGTTTTTAACAAAAGATTAGTCAGATATCCAAAAATTTCGTTGCAATCAATTGCGATAACAATGAACAGCTAAAAAACAACGGAACTAGGCAAACATAAGTATTGACAACTAATTTCTGAATTTTATACATGATAGTAAGTAAAGGGGACTTACTGATCTAATTCCTTAAATCTCGAACCTTCGATCCATTTCTCTTCAAAATGAGCACCCTGTCTTTGGGTGATAAATTGACCTAACCGTAAACGGTTTTCCATAACTTTTTGACGTGTAGTCTTTCTTTCGAGTAAACTCTGAAAGCACGTTATACAATCAGAAATTCATTAGAATAAAGAAAATACATTGGTAAATAAATGACCAACGATAGCATTATTTGACGTAATACTGAGCAGGTTAATAATCAAATATTGTTATGCGCATTGCAGTCAGACAGAATATTTAAGAAAATAATTAAATAACTTACTTTTTCAATCAGCAATTCGCGTATCATTTCGCGGGAACGAATGGCATTATCTTGTAATTTTGTAATGGTCTCTCGTTGAACAACTGTTTCGTGTTCTAAATCAGCTATTCGACGCTGAAGACTCTCAACTGAAGTTAGTGGAACAGATGAAGCAGGTCCACCGGTTGTAACTAAGGGAGGATTATTATGCAAAGTTGTGATGTTTGTGCATTGTGAACCTTCCACACATTCGGCAGTTGGCGGTGGAGTGACAGTTTCATCTGTTTGCACCCCGACATGAGATCTGAAGTTGTTTGTGGGTGACCCAGAAACGGCTGGAACATTTGATGTCATGGGATTATTAGGACAGGATCCAGAGCTTAGATAACCAACACTAGGTTGTCCAACTTGAGGATATGATGAATTAAGATTAGCAGGTAGCTGAAGGTTAGAATAAGTAGGCAATGGATTAGCATTGCAGGGTATTGTACAAGAAGTTGGATTCGCGTTTACATTCGCAACCATACTTAACCCAACCATCGATACAGGATTGTCACCGGAGCTATCACTTAAACTTGCTGTACTGCTGGCACGGACAGGTGACAACTGGAAAGTAGCTGCATTATTTGCATACTGAATTCCTGTTACTGACGTAATAATCATTTGATCGTTGCTTGCGCAGCTCGTAGTCACAGCTTCATTCAGCGACGGGATGTAATTATGGTTTACTCCAACCATTTGATTATCAAGAGAATGGGCACCTGTAGGGGACTAAAAAGGGGAAACGGTACACAATTAAAACAAAAGCTGTAAGGATAAACTCCTATTCCTACTCACGAAAAAATTCTCCCATAGTTTCTAGTACGAAATAACCCTAAATAAGATTATCGTTAGCAGTATTAGTCTTTTACATGGTGCTAGTCACGTATTCCTCGTACATGAATGTATTATCCTGGTTACCTGTTAATTATTTGTAAATCTCATTAGTTATCGTTTCTACAGAATAGTTATCTTTGTAACGTAACCAGATATTGTTTCACCCATTATCTGCAACCTACCAACCGCGTTATTGGTTTAGGTACTGAAACTACTGTATGACATGAAAACTAGCAGTCCCATTGGACCTACCACGCCAAGGTAGGTAGAGTTGAACTTGGGATCGTTTAATTGATTAATAACAATGTATCTTTTAATGTCAGTGAACTTGATGGGGATTGCGGAGATTGTTGGGTTTTATTGAAATCACGAACCGATCTAAGTTAGACAACCATCGGAAACCTGGAAGCCCTGGATTGATTATTTGACAAATTGTCACACGAATGATTAATGAAGTTCATCTCAAAATTTTCAGATTCCCGGAACTTGACCTATCTAAACGTAGTAAGAAAAAAAGTGCTATTTGTTTTGCTTATGGACAGTAAGCTTGTTAGCCGAGTAGTATTCACTAGCTCACACACAAATTTTAACTCAAAGCCTAGCATACGAATATATACCGAGTTAGATCCAAGGATTTATTTACCTTGTGTTCCAACAGAGTAAACATACATGTATTATTTTGGCTATCGAATCCAGAGATTACAAAAACATTTAATTAGCGAGACCTGTTGCGGTATAATAATATCGGAAACATGGACATTTGAGTTGTTATATCACTTATTCTGAAACTATCTATATCATATGATTCGACAATTTTTAGTAGAAACAATCCAAGACAAGTATTTACGTGATAAATCTAGATGAAAATTGTTCATTTTAGCATTGTTAGTAAGAGATGAAACAGATAATTCCAAAACCTAGCTGATCCAATACTGCTACATATTAGTTAGAGATCTGGACACAGTGAATATAAGATGTAGACTTACAGGACTCTGTAGACGAGGATTTTGTGTCGGACTGGTTGAACCACAGGATGAATATAATGGCCCAGGCATGAACTGAATGAAAAAAGATGAGTGAAGATAAGCTATGATTAAACTCGAATTCTCGAGATACATATATTTAAGAAAAATGGATTCTGGTGGGACAATTATAGCATACAACATTTAGACCAAAACAACAGCCTACAATAACAAAATCAGTGAGTCGAGCGACAGATACGATGCACACATTATGAGTAGGTCAAAATCTTTGACATGTTATCTGTTCATTGATTAAAACAAATTCGATCCAGGACTTCCAATAAACCTATAAAATTACCTGGCAGATATTGATGTTAATTCACCTGTAATTTCCTGAATCTACGATTTTTAGGGTTCTTCTAATGACCTAATTATTAAAAAACTGATTTGATGAAAGTCTAGAGAGTGAACGGCATATTTTAGGAGGAGGAAAATGCACAACTCACTTTAAAGATTTCATCGATACGCTTTGAACCACGTTCTTGGCAAACCATTTTTTTAGGTTTCGGTGTATGACCTTCATCAGAACTCACTAATTTTCGCCGTTTCTTTGTGCCATTTCGGGATGGCAACGAATCACCTTGTCCACCAGGAGTTGGAGTATGTGGTCCTATCGAAGGAGATAAGTGGTATGTAGGATTGTTTGTTTCGATAAATGCTGCAGATGGTTGGACGGAAATTTGGAATGTGGGATACGGAGCATTTTTTTCCTCTACAAATGTATAGGGTTGTTTCACAGGACTGTTGCCCGCAACAGTGGTTGGGGTGTGAATAGAGTTCGACCTTGAAACATACTGCAGACCTTGGGGCGAACCAAGAGGATTTGCTGGGATACCAGGAGCCAAAGCTTCTATCAACTTATCGTCCGATTTTACGAGGGAAGTAATAAGACCGTCATTTGATGTGTTGTCAGACTCTCCTACAGAACTTGAAGGGATTCTCTTTTTTTTTGGAGTCGTAGGTGAAGTCACATAATCTTCTTGCGTCTGAACGTAGATCTGAGAATCTTGAACATTAAGACCCGGACTAGTGACCTCCAGTCGATGAATGTTATGGCAATTCGGGTTATGCAACCTTTTGCCTGGATCTGTTGCACTCGGAATTCTTTCATTGATTTCAACTGATATCGAAGGAACTACTGTGGAAACCGGCTTAATCTCACTGCTACTAGTACTTAGGTCATGTTCACCGACTGAACTGAATGGACTGGAAGAACCACGTAAAACTGAGTGTTCTGGAGTGCCGGAAGGTTCTTCTGTTATTGGAAACATATATCCAGAAGCATACGAATTAGACTTTGTGGAGCGAGGCACATTATTGGTTGACCTTATATGGTTAGTTCCCTGAATTCTAGCTTCCAGAAGTTCGTGTTTACGTGGATCTACATGAAGAGGCATAGCAAAGGTACCTTAAAGTGTAAAATAAAACGAAGTTGCTTCGTTAGTCTACATAAGTGGGACAGGATTTAGAAAAAGAAAAATATCCATTACGGTGAAGAAAATCTCATTCTTAACCAACATTTATAATATCTCTTCCCAGATAAAGAAATAGTAAAAACTGCCATTATAACAAACAAAATTAAGCTATTGATGTATGTAGTAACTAGTCTCAGCTGTATTTTATAGGTTCAGACAGGGTAATGGATATGGGTAATAGTTCACTTACCAAAGTTCGGAAAGATTTACAGCATTATAAACCTTCAAATTAAAATTGAATACAACTGAGTTATAATAATTAACATCACGTGTTAAGAATTGTATGACAATTTCGATGACTCCCAAAGTGTGGAATATCTGTAGCTAAAGACGAATCCTAGATATATAAAACTAGATACCAATGAGATAAATAGATTCTTAGAAATCAATCTTATTCGTTTAGTACTTAATATATCTTGATTTTGGTAAATTATTAATCTCTTTATTTAATATTATATTTTCGGTAAAATATGGAGTTCATACTACTTTATCTGCGTTTTCAACATTGCTGATGAGCATAGCAAATAAAATGAATGGATTAACAACAGTGACTTCATTTTTACCTACCTGAAGTACAAAATGCCAGTGCAATTAATATGGAACATATTTATTAGATTAAGAATATATAGGCATTAGATTCAGTAGTATTTCATCGGACGAATTACCTATTATTCAGAAAGGATCTTGATACTTGGAGAGAACAAGGGCCAAACTTTATATTACATGGGCTTAAAAACACTAATGTATTAAGCAATCGTAAAGTAATTAATATCATTAATTTACTATGTGCAAATTTGTATAAGCAGCTTTGAGTCATACTTTATAAGGCTCGTGATACCGCCCGGCTTCCCAAACTGTAGTAGGTAGGGTAGGGTTCAAGGCTGATTAGAAACGTTACTTCAGTAAGGGAGTGAGAGAAATTACATTCCAAATCGAACTATCTTCGAAAACGATGATAATACTAGTACGATCTGGTTAATTGTATTAGATTCCTTAACTTTGCGAAGCATGAACTTCGTTCAGGTCATTTTTAATACTAAGGTAAACTACTTTGGGAATTTTGAAGGGAAACGACACGATTCTGAGCAAGTACGCAAAGAATGGAGTTTACGAATACCCTAGTCGAATTTTTCCCGAAGGAAACACTTCTTAGAAGCGATTTGGCAGAAAATCTCACCGTATTAAACTAGATCTACCGAGTGGTACTGTGAAATCCTAGACTCTAATAACACTAAGCTAACTTCGCCTGAAGCCCCTTCAGGATTACTGACAGTCCCAAGTCAGGATAAAGGAAGTTGGGAGTAGGGTTAGAAACCCCATATCGTAAAAAGAACTTTGATGCAAAAAAGCTAACCACAGAAAACCAATTAAGCCAATTAGACTACTGAGTACGTCACGCCACGGAAATCGACGTGCATCACAAAGTAAGCTCTGATTTGTAATTAAGACAAAAGGAAAAGAGGCAGACAAAAAAACATATCACTGAAAAGTGAGAGCGGTCATCAAAAGAATGGGATGAACTTCGAAACTCCATGTAAGTATGGTCTTCTCATTACACTGTTCTTTCTACTATGAATACATGTAATTTTTCAGTTAACACTTTAGAGATTGTAACTTCTACGTATTTTGAAGCTATTCAATATCAACTAGTCAGGGGCTTTCTACGGCCAACTATATACTGAATTTTTTATAAATCTAGGTAATATTTAACCAGATTCAGACTAATGGTGTTATAATCACTGGACGACTCAAGAAGTGGAGCTTCACAATAGTTAGGGTGTGACAAGAAACGATGTCGTATGCAGCTTGAAACCTGTACAAATTGACCAACGAGGTACAAGGTAATGAGACTTTTCAGACTATTGTGGTCAATAACATCCTTGAGGCAACTTTGATAAGAGTATATAGTGGTGGTGAGGATGTTAACCGGAGAAACAGTTCGATCTTGAGTATCTGGATGATATTGTCTTGCAGTGCGGTGATATTTGAGCCATGCAAGTGACAATTAATCAGTGTCCTAAATACGGAATTTAGTTTGAACATTCTAAATGCAAAGTGGCTCCATAGGACTGGCAAGAGCTTGTACCGGCACTCATTCTTTATGAGTTGTGAGAAATAATCTAAAGGTCAGCGTATCTGTGTGAGTGCTGCTGGAAGTGTGACTGATGGGGTCAGTCTACGTATGGTGAAAGCTAGAGCGATTTATGCTAATTCAAACTATCTTTGGTACTTGTGATGTTAGTTTGGATGTAGAAGGTTGGATTTACGATGTGTTTGTAAGAACAGCACTGCTCTGTGTTTGTGAAACCTGGCCTTTACTAGTTGAGTATGTTAGATGACCGCGTTTGGTTATCGCTGTCTTTGTAGGGCTGTTGATAACACTGTTAGCAATTCAAATGTTTAGTAATGTGTTCGGACAGTGGTGATAACTCGATTAGTGTCGCTATCTTGTGGGTGTAATCTCTAAATACAACTTATGAGAGAGAAAATCGATACCGATTAAGATTATTTCCCGTTACACTAAGAAAGTCTGAAATCTGCTTAAGGCCTTTTAATACATTTTTACTATGATTTTTATTTGATGACAAATACTTAGTTCATAAATTCTAATCATTATAATTCGCACATAATCAACTGACTCAAATGTACTTTTCATTGATATACTAATCATCATTAAAAAGCTTATTACTAAAATGATCTTTCTACTCTAATTAACGACGAAGACAAGTCAGCAGGACGCAAGGTAAAACCTGGCACATATATACATTGATTGAGGTCCTAGATACGCTCCTGCTTCTATTTGGGCACCCGGACAGTATCACAGCCCTCGCACAAATCAAATGAGATTTGTGTGGCACATATGTATTTGGTGCCTCCTTGTACCAATATCTATATGTTCAAATAATAAATAAATCCTAGATAATCTGCAACTTAGTGCATGAGAAGTCATAAGGAATGACTCTGAAGAGAAGCTAATGGAAGTCCTTTCGAAGATAATTTTTACATCCTCCACGAGTCAGAGGAACTCCAAGTGAAAGAATTGTTTTCGGCCATAGTTTTTAAAACGAAATGTCACTTTGGTGAAACTATAATTTACGGACGACATTTGAGTTACGCTAAAGTGGCCTTGAGTGTGTCCTCCTACTTTGTAGGGCTAAATGAGAGTTATAAACCTGTGTGAAGAATAAGGATTATGATTTACAGTTGATGGTCAGGGTTATGGATTCGTTTTAAAATCTTCACGAACTGACATCATACCGAAACGCTCTTTAACCAAATAGATGAAGGAATTTTGCGCCAAGATCCAAGACATGTTATCTTATTTCTTATTGGTTCGTTCATAAACTATAGTTTTGCCTCATTTTCTTATTTGAGTGCAGCATATTTATCTGGTGCTCATTTGTACCAGATTTTAGATAAAATAAGAAGATGGAGGCAAGATCATTGGGAACTTTAAAGTGAATTACTATGTTAAGCTATAACCTGTATGAACATTGTACTCTGGTGATGGTGATAACCGCCTTAAAAGCAGAAATTTGCAGTTTTAGGTTTCAAGAGATCTCGGCAATAGGATTCCAAAAACCCACTGTTTCGCGCACACCTAAGTAACTGCACATGAGTGGCAATTCCTAAAGATGGGTATCTACATTATTTTTTTCTGCATATGTGTCAACAGTTAGATACTTTAGCCTTCGAAAACAAATTCGCAGATAGCTCTAGTCCCCACTTAGAGTGTATAAATTATTCATGTAATATTTGGCCCTAATTTCTCACACTCAAAACGTGGAGGTAGCTAAGATGGATCAACGATATCACGTAGGGACTTAAGTTGAGTATTTGTGACATCACGCATATAAATACGCATATGCGTGAAATCAAACAACTAATAAGGTACATACGGAATTGGAAAACCGTTTGCTTCCTTTGACCAAATAGTTCTAAAGATAACTTGGTGATAGGACAAATCAAAATTAGAAAAACTAGGTTTTTTAACAATATGAATCCACTTTCTAAACGAGCGTACCTGAAGAAGTCAAGTGGTAATGACAAGCTAGAATGTAAACTGGGGAAAATTAGAACTGAGAACACCACCATTTTAAAACTATGAAGTCATTGACTTACATATCCATAGGAACAAAACAGTAACTAGATAATCGCATACACAACATCCACAGCCATCTGAAGATTCCGAACGCAGAATTTTCGAAAACAGATAAACAAACAAGCAACAGCTGACTGTAACGATTTGGAGTCGTGGTGATCAAGTGCTGAGACTATTTAATGTCAGTAAATAATTAGGTTCATCGTAATAGTTCAAGCTGGTTCATAGACTTTATTTTTGTGGCAAAATAACGGCGCTTTTTAAAAATGCTGGTGGAACGCAATATCTGTCAGAATGTTAATCTCACCATACTGGAGTGCAGTCAGCAAGCCGCAGAGTTTAGGACGTTTCTTGGCAATAGTGCTGACACGTCCTTTGGTAGTATCCCAAGGCTTTTATTACAAGCCGCGGATCGAGATTTGCCTTCCAGGTTTATACGTATTTTGTATACATTTGACCGGCATGTGATGCTCGGTCTATATCATGTGAATCGTAACAAACAACTTATAAAGGTTGTTTTTATGTATTTTGAAATTCCTATTGATTTCTATTTCAGAGAGCTTGAGGCATAAGTTAAGCGAATCCGTAGTGACAAGTTTACAATGTTCCTGTATCTGACTCGAGTTAGAGGTTGTACCAGTCTTTTTTGCACACACAATTCTGGTTTTTCCAGATCTATGGCTATTGCCTCGGCAATGCAAAAAGATGCAGTCTAATTGTCCTAGGAAGACTTCTACTTACCTTGTAAATGACTTTGAATTCAGAGTCTGTCTTGATTGAATGACCTGTGTTCACAAGGTGTCCGATTATAGAACTTCTTATTGAGCCGTTGCCTCCTCTTTTTAGCCACGCCGGCATGGAAAACTAGAACTGTGTGTGCAAAAGAGACTGGTACAACCTCTTCTTCTACCATGGTCTTGATGTATTAAAATTTTTCTCTCTTTTTCATACTCTTGTTCCTTTACAGCTATATGCTTCACCTTCCATCTTCCCTTTAAATCTTCTACCCACAACTGGTTTGCTTTTTATTTCCACGATCATTCCGATTACATTTCGTCTCTGTTTCAACATGTTATTTTATCGTGCTCAGCCATCTTTTCCCAATGTTAACTTCCCTATCTATCTTTTATTGAATACTTAAGCTATTAACAATCAAACGATTGTTAAACTTTCCTTGTTTAATACCTTTGTTTATTTAACCTGTCACCATATATAACAGGTTTATTATCAGTATTATCATCCTGTAAAAATAAGCATATATATTTGCGATTGTACAGCTTTGAAAATGAATTCACCGGAAAGAGAACCCTTCGCTGAACTAATCTTTCTTAGTTATTGTCTTAATGGGTGTATTCCGTTTATTAAAACAAAGTGATGCGGAGCGGAGGCGAGTTAGCCAATGCAATTTAATGAAGCATGGCCCGATATTCATGGTCAAACAAAAATACGTTACGGACACAAAATGAATAGGGTACGTAGTTAACACACATGTACTCATATAAAAACAGTCAGATCTAATAAGCGAATAAGTGACAAGGTCAAAATATGACTCCGGAAGAATGAATAGATTAGTCCGTCCAGAAGCTAGAATAACCGATGTGTACTTGACATGGCAACAGTACAAACTATGATAATTAATGAAAAAACACAAATTGTAACAGAAACTAATTACAAAATGACTCTATGTTAACTATCTCCATAGCTTTTTCATAATATATGAGAAGAATATTCGTTGCCTAAGAAATTTCATATTTGTCAGTAATGAGCAAAGTGACTTATTTTTCAGAGGGAGGTTTAAACACTTGGCTTAAATACCTTTGGTTTCATAATTTATCTATAGTTTCACGGAATTTTCAGTCGAGGTGTTTAGCACATTACTTTCAATGAATATTTAAATGTACCGAACTATTAGTAAAAATGAATGATGTATTGAATATTTCCCACTTCAACAGAGTGATCCAGGACATTCATGGAGGCACAAAAGTTTGTTTGAACCTCGTAAGAACACGATACTTCAAGCTCATTACATGAATTTAATTTTGTCAGATATACACTACCATCAAGGTAATAAAGGACAACCCAAGGATACTTTATCTATGTGTGTGCAAAATTCCCTCTACTTATGAATTCCAGGAGACCATAAGCTTTTATTACATCCTTAACTCAAATTTACTATTACCAAATCTCTTATTTCTGTATATTATGTGTTACTCTGATTCAATATCAAATTATCATCATACATTTTTACAGACAATTTTAGTTTGTGTCCATTTCATTCCTATCTTATTGTAGTTCACTATTCTGATATGTTTTACTTATCCACATATTTTTGGTAGGTTACATATGAACTCATCTTTTGACTGTTGCCACTTAATCCGGTCGATTTTTCCCACCGTTTGTAATAGAATCGGACTACCTGTTTGTTAGAATTTGTAATGGTGGCATTAGTTGAAACCAAAGTTTATCAAGATTCGGTACCAACTGGTCGCAAAGGTGTTGGTTCTCAAAGCTGAAAAGAAAATAACTTAGAAATTTCACACGCGGCATTCGACATGGAGAGTAGGTCAGAGATGGTGAACACAGAAAAGATTGTTCAGCGGGTTGTGGCTCAGTCTTGCAGGCGTAGTCATTCTGTGTAAACTATATCTTTCCACGTTATATACACTATTTTATCCTCCGGTAAATGTGTTCTACAAAAATGCTAGATGTCCTATTGGGGATTGTCACGGTAGGACGAGTCAGTGTAGACCATGACGTGGCTTCTACGTCAGATTTTATAGATTGGATAGTCAGGCCGTAACAAATGTTTAAAGGTAAATGTACTAATATCAAACTATCCCATAATTCTACATGTTCCACCCTTTTAATGTTTTATTATTGGTATTATTGTTCATAATCAGCCACTAGTTTCGATCACTAGCTCAGTGTATCAGAGAGGATTTTCGCCCCCTGTAGTTGCTAGCAAAAACGAACTATGTACTAAAGACAAGGTTTTTGACGTTGCGCTTACATAAATAACATGACTTCACATGAACCCAACAGCTTGGCTGAAATATAATCTCCTACTTATTTTTAGGGGAGAGAGACTAGGAAGTTATTTGACAGAAAATATTTTTGCATTCTTGTTCTTCAATCTGTTTGCTATGAACTTGTAGTGATATTACATCTAATCACAATCTTTAAAGGTGAACATGCCAAATAATTTGATATCCGTGCTCTCAAGAACCATGGAAAAAATCATCCACAAACAGCTACTATCATTTTTACTTTCGGCTAGTCTGATCAGCCTATCCCAACACGGGTTTATGACTAAACGCTCATGTTTCACATCACACCGGGAGTTTTTTGATCAAATTACCCAGAAAAGAGATGTTGGTCAGTCAGTGATAATTCTTTACTTCGATTTTAGTAAGGCTTTTGACAGTGTCTCACACAAACTTCTTCTTTTAAAACTCTCTTCATTTGACATACAGAATCCCCTTTTATCTTGGTTCAAATCTTTTTTAGAAGAACGTAGAAAATCGTTCGCTTTGGATCTTGCTACTCTAAGCCTGTGAATGTAACCAGTGGGGTTATACAAGGAAGTGTGATTGGTCCATTACTCTTTCTCCTTTTTATCAATGATGTGTGTTCCCTCTTTCAGTATGGTAAACCTTTCCTTTTTGCTGATGACCTGAAAGTAGTATATTCATTCTCTTCTCCTACGAAAGAAAGCTATATTTCAGCGGTAATCCAAGAGGAAATAAACAAGTTGTACGAATGGACTGTTTCTTGGAATATGCCACTTAATGTTGACAAAAGTGGATTTTTTCACATTGGTCGCTGTCTTAACTTAAATCTGACTGTACACACACATACACTCAAACCTCTCACCACTGTTCGTGACCTGCGTTTAAGATATAGCAACAGTCTGAACTTTTCTGAACACATTATATATCAAGTATCCAAAGCTCATCGGATTGATAATGATAAACTTCAATAATATCGAATCGAGATTGTTACTATACAGAAAATGTGTCTTACTCATTCTTGAATATGGTATTTTAGTTTACAGTAATTGTAGACATAATGACCTGATTAGAATTGAAGGTGTTCAAAGAAAGTTCACCAAAGCTGTTCTGGGGTATTCCGATAACAAAGACTATTACCAAAGATGTCAACAACTCAACTTAGAACCTCTTTGGATCAGACGTATCAAAATAAATCTTGTCTTTATCTACCGGCTTATTAACGGTATTTCCTACTCTTCGCTATCCATCCCTTCATATCTTATGATATCATCCCACAATCTACGCAATAAGGAGAATATTCTAGCGATTCCAAGAACCCGCACAAACTTACGTCAGAATTTTTTCCTTATTCGCTACTCAACCATGTGCAACAGACTGCCAGTGAACCTCCGTTGCAGTGAAATTACAACCCGGTTCAAAAGTCTCCTTGACGATTTTCTTTCCGAAAGTGGATTATGTCACCTATTGAATATCAATGTATTCAATAATGATTTATACAAACAAGGTCCATCATCCATTTAATTGCTTGAAAAGCAAAATAAAACCTTTAAATCTTTCCACGTCTATTTTATTTTATTTCTATTCATCTTAATATATGAAATCTGCTTATGTTCGTGTTTATCATTATTTCCGTTATTAATATCATTATTAGTTCCCCGAAACATTAGATACTCTTTTTATATCTTCTTATCCTTCTAAACATATTTAACTCCAGATTGTTTTTTGAAATCGATTTTGACTTTCATAGCATCAATCTTAATTATTATTGCACAAATATTTATACTAATACTCGGTTTCACTCTGTATACTATTACATAAATCTAAATGTATTCATCCGAGTGCTTTAACGGATTTTTATTTTATTTTTTCAATTGCTGGTTTCCTTCTGAGGTTGATATTCACTACACAATTATTATTCTTATCATGGATCAAAACTTTTCACTAAGTGTTCACTTCTTTTCTCTCTTCTTTCCCTCTAAATAAATATTATTCTTAAGATTACGAAGTTTGTGATTAAGACAATAACTTGTGTTACACTTAAATCGAATTCTCAGACCCGTTTTATCTTCACTATGCATATATGACTCATACATGTTGATATTTTATTATCCTCTTCATTTAACTGTAACTTTCAT